CGATGTCCCGGGCGGATGCCGGCAGGATGCACTCCCGGCGGGCCGGCATCCGCGCGGCCGTGGTGCTCATCGGGCTGCTGCACAAGTCCAGGAAGCAGAACAAGGAGAAAAGGTAGAGCGCAAGTTCGTTCCTTTTCTTCTCTCTTTATCGAAGGGTTAAAAAGAAATCTGTCCTTGCCGCTGGGTGGCCCGAGTGCGAGCTCCGGGCCGCGGGTCTCCTGGCGCGCGGGAGCGGCGTGCGCCGTGTTCCCGGTGCCGGCCGGGCCGTCGCTGCGGCGATGCTGGGTCGTACCGGCGGGTGGGGGTTACCTCGGCGCAGGGCAGCGGGATCGGGGGCTGCAGCCGCTCGCAGCGCTCCCCGAGCAGTGCCGGCTGCGTGCGCTGCTGTGCAAGGCGAGCCCGAGCGCGATTCTTTGGCGTGAGAACATTCAGGACCGCTTTCGGTGCCCGCGGAACTGCTTTAACTCAGTGAACAGCTTTGTCTCCTCGCTGAGGAACAGCTGACAAATGGTTTCATCTTTCATTGACTAAGTCACGGATTGTACTTTATGTTCAACTCCGCGTATTGAGGAAATAGCCTCTTTGCAATACTGTGTGAGCTGGCGTCTGCTCTGCACGGCTCCCGCATCCCCCCGCTTATTAGTGCGAATTGCTGTTTGCTTCAAAGCCTCTCCACGCTCTGATTTATTTGTGTGGTCTCGGTCAGGGAGTTCTCTCCTCCAGGACTGCGCTGCTCTGGCAACTTTGTTGTTAAAAATAGTCGGAAATATGCATCCCAGTCCCAGTGGTGTGCATACCTCCCATTCGGGGTGGGAGCAGCATGGGCACTGCTGCAGATTGATGGTTTCCTTTTTGTGTTGTTGCTGAAATGGTGATTTTTAAACAAAAACATATGAATGAAGACCTGATTATTTGGAGTCTTTCTTGTAACTACACAACCCAGCACACTGGGAGTTCCTTCTGCCCTCACCCCAAAGTTTTGGGTCATGCGGCCCTGTGTTCTGCTGCTGGAGGTGCTTTGCATGGGCAGCGGGTGTGCTGGGCAGCAGGATTTTAGGGTTGCTTTCTGTGTAGCTCATACTGCTGCTGCTGCTCTCTGGGATATTTTCTCCTTTGCTGGGGCTTTAGGTAGAGCATCGAGGCTCCCAAAGTGATTCCTTCCCATTGGGTGCCAGATTTCTATGAATGAGCTCAGAATGACACCTGAAGCCTGAGAAAAAAATCTGGCTCCAAACTCTCATGGAATCTGCCCCGTAACACAGGAGCCTGAATTTTTGGATTTTGTTCCCCATCAAGTTGAGCAGAAACCCTCCCAGCGATGCTCTGGCTGCAGGGTTTATTCAGAACATTGAGAGTCATACAGACACCTCAAGGGGAGAACCAGACCCTGAGGAATTTTTTCTCCTGTCTGCTGTGGTCTGAGCAGCCTTCATGGGAGCAATAGCGAGAATTCAAGCAGCGCTTTAATGTGGCTGCTTCATCTTATGCAAACTGCCAGGGCCATCAAAGTGACATAATCTGCAGGAAAAGGAAGGGACTGTTAGCGGTGTAGTCAAAAGGGACTCTGTTCCTCCACCTGCTCCTATTTTCTTTTTTTCCTCCTACATTCAGGCTTTGTTCTGCATTTGCAATTGAATTTTGCTTTCCATGAGCCATATACAAGTCTGGCAGGATTGGTGGCAGCTGCAGAGTCCCTGGTGGCCCACGTCCCTGTCTTATTAGCAACCAGCAAAGTACAGCACAATAAATGGACTTCGGCAGGCTCCCGTTGCAGGAGCAAGGCGATGCTCACCTGGGCACTCTGTAGGTCTGTGCCTGTCCTGTGCTCGGGCTGAGGCAGAGAAGCAGCACCCTGCACCAACACAAGGTGCACACCTTGCTGAAGTCGTTGGAGTGAAGTCTTTGCACTGCTGAAATTGATGTAAACATTCCCATTTGTTTCAGTGGGGTCAGGGATTATGCTCACTAAGGCAGCCCGTGGCTTTTTGGTCCCTCCCCACCATTGGAAGCGCTCCCATTCCCCTGCCCCTCTGCCTGGGGGCCAGATGGAGGCAGCATCCCTCTGCTTGGTGTTGTTCTGCATGTGGTCAGAGGCTCTGGTTTCTGGGAGCTGTTCTGTTTAATTTGCAAATTATTGAATCAGTTCAGAAGCGGCTGCCCAAGGTTCCTTGGCTCATGTTTTTTCAGGAATCGGATCAGACAATCCTTCTGGTATTAAATGGTCCATGAGTCCCTTGGCTGATTTATCCAAATGCTGCTGGAAATCGTTGCTTCCTCTCCACTCCTAGAAGTGAGACCAGAGAACAAAATCTGCTAGTGATAAAAATCTCTTTCCAGCATTATTTGCAGAGCCAGCTGTACTCTCCTATCAAGACAAGGTGGAAGTCCTTGGTGGGCTGGAAGGGCTCCATCTCCCATCCAGCTGCAGACAGCAGCACGAGAGGGACAGGCGGGCGCTGAGTGTGCCATGCCCTCCTGAAACAGCACCGCAGCAACGCCTGCACGAGTGCAGGATGTCCTGAACTGCTCCAACTACAGTTACTCGTGGTGCAGGGGAGTAATTAAAGCTAAAGCTGTTTGCAGTTAAATGTCACCTTGCTCTGAGCAGGGCTTAGGTTCCTTGCTTGTGCGCGCTGTGCAGTTGCGGTGCTCTATGCAAGCAGATGCAGGCTGGTAGTCTGAAAACACAAAATTTACTGCAAACAATTTACACCAGAAAACAGTGCTCTCTTTCTTTGCTGATTTTCAGGCTTCAGTGCACAAAAGCGATAGGTAACCAAGGCAAATTGGGTTACTGGGGAAAATGTTGCACCACTGGGGCTCTGCCCACACCTGCCCTGAGCTGTGGTGCATCTGCAGCACTGGGGCCAGAGCCGGGCAGCCCCGCAGTGTGTGCCCTGCATGGGGCCAGTGCTGCCCGTGGGCCCCGTCTGGGTGAACCCAGGAGCGGCTGTGGGGCCGTGGCAGTGCGGACGGGGAGTCGGCCTCTGGGCAAACTTCAGATGTTGGGCACTGAATGTTAAATAAATGAGAGAGGGAGCAGCTGGCAAGGTGAGGCCCATCAAGGGCAAAAAAAACGACGGCTCCAAAAATAGAGGCTGTTAATTTACAGAACATCTTTACTGTCCTTCTCAAGGATAAAGCATCCCGACAGCTGAACTTGTTGCAGATGGGTGTGCTGTGAGGGATTAACACCTCCGCGGGCCAGGTTTCATCAGCAGAATTAAGCGAAGGCATAAATGTAACCTGTGATGCTCCAAGCACTTAATTGACACAGCATAACAAAAAGCAGCGCTTACTGCTCGCTGCAAAACGGCGTCACATAATATGTTGACATCTCCCCTTCCCACGCGCAATTTGTATCAATGCTCTGTCAGGTTAGAGCCTGCCTGGTAAATCAGACGAACAAACAAAAAGGCAGAATGTGTGCAGAAGTCTTTTGTTAGATGTTAGTGAGAATACAGGAAGAAAGGTGCAGCTGAGAGCTCTGTACGAGGTGCTTGTGTCCTTGCTTGTGTCCACGGCCATGCCATGCCTTGCAGGGGCTGCATTTTGTTCCCAGCTCAGCCCGTGCCCAGAGAAGCCCTGCGATGTTGCTGGAGGATCAGTGGGTGGAGAGCATCTCAGTGCCCAGCTGCCTGGTGGAGCTCGGATGGCACAGCCGGAGGTGGTGGACCAATGTGGTTGCTGGTGGGTGGAAGTGGCCTCTTTCCTTCCCACAGAGATCCCCAAAATTGATTTTTGAAGGCAAACAAACCTATCCATGATGTGATTATGTTGGAATTCTGGCGTTGTCCCAGGCTGGCACAGAGCAAGCCCCCAAACTGGGGCCATGTACGTGGTGCCACGATGGTGCTATGGGCTGTCATTAGCAGGGCAGCTGGTGTGGGACCTTTTGTCCATGCTCCCGATTTCCTGATTGCCAGGGAGCTCCTCACAGTGCAGCAGTGCTGCCTTGCTGCTGGGTGCGTTCAGCAGTGCAGCACAGTGAGGGCATCCTCCGCACCCAGCAGCACGTTTTGAGCAGCATTTCAGCACACCAGCATGGTCTGCCGGGTTCAGGACCTGAATTTGTTCATGCTTTTGGGATGTGACCAGAAGTGCTCTGAATATCAGAGAATGACTCCACCCATCCTGGCTGCTTTGTGGGTTCCCGGTGCCCGCGCTCAGAACAGGGCAGTGCCGCAGTGCCGGCGGTGCGCTGGTTCCGCTCGCCTTTGGAAAACCCTGCGGCTGGCCTGGTAACTGCATTAAGGTATTTCCTTAATTAGATTTACTAAGTATGTAGGATTCTAATTCTTGGGTTTTTTTTTTTTTTTTTTTTGCCTTCTTTCTTAATTTGCCTAATGAGGAAAATGAAGAAATAACATTACCTAAGTGATGTCTGCGCGGCTTTCCGGGAAGCCTCTGCCCTGCCCGGTTTGCCCTGGCCCTGCAAGGCTCAGTGAGGGGCAGCCTGGCCTCCATCCGCCTCTTCTCTCCCCCCCCCCCGTGCTGATTGTCCCACTGCAGCTGTGGGTGGGCTCGGGGCAGAGCTGGTGGCTGCGGGCTGTGCTGTGCTGTGAGGAGCTTGGGGCGGCACAGGGCTGTGCTGGATGCATGCCCAGGTCCCTGTGCTGGTGGCACTGTGGGCTGTGCTGTGAGCTTCAGGTGAGCTCCCGGGGCTGCCATGCCCTGTGCAGATGGGGACACACCGACCTTCCCCCGAGCCATTCATCATCCCATGAGGGCAGACTGCTGGGAGTCAGGCTGGTGGCCCTTGATCCCGGTGCTGGCAGAGGACTGAATCACTGCGCTCGGTGCTGCAGGTCACCATAATGTGGTGCTGGTGCTACGGCTGATTGCTGGTGAATCTTCTGTGTGCTCACCCCGAAGTGAGATCGTGGCTCCAGCAGTTTGGCCCTGAACAAGCAATCAACATGTGATAACAGAACACGTTGTTAAGTTGTGCAACTGATTTTATAATACTTAGAATGTGATGCTATGGCAACCTGTTACAAATCCCAGATCAAACTGAATTATTTGTATGCATCCCCATAACTTTCATCTTTGGAGGCCTGTGCCTTTGAGGCTGCTCTGCAGATTGGTGCAATCAGACAGAAAGAGGGTTGAAAGGAAGAGAGCAAAGATGGGTGCTTGTGTCCAGGTCCGTCTGCCTGCAGAGCTCCAGGTAGTTGTAGAGCAAAGAGTGCAAATTGCCATTTGGGCACCTTCTCAGCAGCAGAGCTGTGGTGATTCTGTGGGGACTAGGAAGGGATGGAACTCAATGGTCAATGCGAGTGGTCAGCACGTGGCTTCTGCTGCTGCCCATCTGCAGTCTTATAGCATTTCCATTTCTTGGGTGTTGGCCCTGGATCAAGGCTACAGATGGGGGCCTGAGCCCTTCATTGCTCTGTGACCCACCGCTGGCTCCGTGGTCAATTTGAGTCCATAACTTCCCCCTTCCATAGTTATTAACTATCAGGGAACGATTGATCTGTGTCCTGTTGGCACTTTCCCTCTGATCTCAGCACTGAGCAGCAGCCCCTTGGCTCTGCTCTCTGTGCCTGGCTGAGGGCTGAGGACCAGGCAGGGCAGGAGCCCCGCACTGCTCGGTCCTACGTGCTCAGCTGGGTGCGTGAGTGCATACATGTGTGTGTCTCAACAGATGGAGTCAAAGTCCATCAGGACCAGGAGACGTCTGTTAGCAGAAGCAATTGTAAATACGAGCAGGAAGGCGGGAGGAGCAGCGGGCAGCCCTGTCAGGCCCTGGCTCAGTCTGTATTGCAGGGACACCCCTGCACAGCCGCCCTTTGCCTTGCACGGTAGCAGTGGGGTTCTGCTTTTGCCACAGCGGTCTCACAGAAAACCAGATCTGCAAGGGCGCTGTGGCAGCTCCTTGTGAAGCACCACGGGCACATTCTGCATTGGTGCAGCCGTTTCTCCTGCAGTGCAGCACTGCCCGGTCCGCAGTGCCCAGCTGGCTGTTCTGCAGTGCAGGGTGCCCAGCACTGCCCGGCTGGCACAGGGACGCACTGAGGGATGCGCTGCAGGGACGTGCCATGGGGTTCACCCCTCCAGCTCTGGGCTGGGAGCAAAGTGAGGCTAATGCAGGGCGGGCTCTGGGCAGCTTGTAGAAAGAAGCTCTGCTGGTGTCCCGATGTTGGCTGTAGGTACCTACCACTGTTTGGGGGAGCCCTGGTGTGCACTGCTGCTCGTCTCCCCATGCACTGCCTCATGCTGTGCTGTGCCATCCCAGGCGGGCTGCCATGGGAGCAAACCTCGTTACTGCGTGATAAACAGTTGGACATTTTGGCCTCGTTTCTGCAAGACTAACCTGGCAGGAACGAGAGGAAACAAAATTAAATCTCAGATTTTCTGACTCCCGGAGTAGCATCTGGCAGTACTGCTGCATGTGACGATTTGATTGTCTGCCTGAGAAGGGATTTTTTTTTAAAAGGCACAGTGTGCTTTTATCAAATCATCAGTGGAGGGCTTTGAGTGCAGTTTCTCAAGGCTGAGGAGGGTGTGGGGTTGCATTTTTTGGCAGGCTCTTGGTACAGTTCTTTCTCCCCTGCTTTCCAGTGTCACATCCCCATGAGACCTCCGTGCCAGTGCCACTCTGCTGTGGGGATCCATGTGGTTGGCCCTTGCCGAAGCTCAGTGTGGAGGGGCCTGGGGGGGGTTCACGCAGCACCACCATGGGGAGCTCTGTGGGGCCGCGGTGCTGAGACACGAGAACGGTTCAACCAAAAGAGGCCTGTCACCCGGTGTTCCTTCTCTCCTGCCTCCCAGACTGGGCTGCAGGGGTTGCTGACGGCTCCTGTTCTGTTTTGCAGGAAGCAGGAGCTGCTGAGCAGCACAGATGTGACCCTCCCGGAGCGGCCACTGTCCCCTCCGCTCACTGCCCCCCCCCACCATGAAGGTGAGTGCTGCACCGCAGGGCTGAGCACCCTGCGTCGGGGCCGTGGGCGCGCGGTCCAGGCTGGGTGCTGCTTTTGGAAACGGAGCCGGCGAGGAGCGGCACTTCCAACGCAGCGCCTGTAGCAGCCGGGGCCGTTCTGAGCAGAGCAGAGTAGGTGGTTTCTGGAGAGCAGCCGGCAGTTTGTTCAGACACCATCAGCTACAGCGTGGTGCGCGTGCCAGCGGGCCCCATTCTGCTGCCGCCGCGTTACGCAATGCCAAGCAGCAGTGCCAGGCGGTGCAGAGCCCAGTGCTGCTGTCCTGATCGGCCCCAGCTCCACATGCTGCCCCGGGGACCCACCTGCGTGCCTGCTGGCACCTGCTCTTCGGCCCCAGCGTAAGCCTTCGAAGCGCGCAGCTCCTCTGCTCTCATGGAGTAACCCGAGCAATTAGTGCAAGTGGAGCTTCCAGACAAAGGAAATGGCAGCTCTTCCCCCTGGGTAGCTGCAAAGCATTCGATATGTTGCCACCCGGGAAATTACTCATTAAACTGGCGAAGATGAGATCGAAGAGAAGCTTTCGAGACAGCTGAGAACTTGGTTAAATGGTTGTTAAGAGTGGGGGGAGGGGTGGGGAAGAATGGAGCTGGAGAAGTTTGTTAGTGAGGTTTCTCAAGTTTTGGCTCATTTTACTTATGTTGGTGGCCTGGGTGCACAAAGCAGGCGTGAGCTGGCAGAGCACACTGGTGGATGGCAGGGATTGTGAGGGGCTGGGGCTGAGGAGGACGGGATAGGGTGACACGCGGAGCTGGCAGTGAGTCCTGCCCGGCACAGCCTGCTCACTCCTCCCCGCCTTGCAGCAGTCCCCAGGCAGGAGCTCACAGCTGAGCTGCACAGAGTGAGCAGGTTCATTCCTACATGCACTCTGTGCTTTCTGCTTAATTCTGGGCACAGGCTGCAGACAGCTTGCTGGAGGCACTGGCTTCCTGCAGCACAGCCCATTGCTAATTCAGCTGCGTGAGCAAACTCCTTCTAAGAGCATGCAAGCTCTGCCAGCAAAAATGTGTTTTCCTGGTGTAACTCAAATTCCTTGAAGGAGGCAAACTACAATGGCAAAAACCTTTTTTTGCTGGTGTAATTCCACAGTGAGGCTTGCTTCCCACCAGCCCTCAGCGGGAGGAATTTGTCTGGCACCTGTAATGGACATCACCGTGCAGGAACAGAGTGGCAGACCGAGCCAAAAGTGAGCAGAGCCGAGTGGCCACAGGGCAAAGCCATCCTTCTGCTCCTGGGCTCCCCTGCTGCTCTGCTGTGTCCGCCCTGGAAACTCACGGGGAGAGGAAGAGGCAGTGAGTGCAGGCAGGGACACGGCCCCAGGGGCAGACGTGGCCCCGCAGTCGCCTCTCCTCTGCCCGCGGCCGCGCCAAGCACTTCCAGCCCGGAGACAGGTTGGCACGGCGTGGCACAGCCAGACCCGGGACCTGGCGTGGTGCAGGCTTTCTGATTGGCCTTGTGCAGGGAGCAGCCAGGCTGAAAGCAGGCTGGAAGGGCTGCGCTGATACCTGCCCATGGCAAGGACGGGTGACCCCGTCGTTGCGGCTGGGGCGAGGTGCTGTCTGAGTGCTGGTTGTGCCGGGCTCTGCTGCGCTGCCCGGATGCATGTGGGAGGTGGGGATGTGCTCGTTGGAACCGAGCCCCTCTCCTTCCCTCGCCTCCCGCCCCGTTCAGCTCCCCGTGCCACCTCTCGCGTCCGTGACGGGGAAAACCTCCGTGAGCCACGTGCGAACTTTCGCCCGCTTCCTGCCCAACCTGTTTGGGGCACTTCCCGCGGAGCCACCCTTTTAAATAACAAAGCAGCAGCACTGCCATGCCTCTGGCTTGAGAAACATTAACGAAGGGAGGTGTCGGTGGGGATGGTGGCCCGCCTGGCGCCGGGCCGCTCCGCGCTGCACTGCCGGTAGGACCCACGGTGGCCGCAGCGGCTCCGGGGGCGAGGCTGAGAGCTGCGGGCGGTGCGGGGCTGAGATGGATTTCCTGCGGGGGCTGCTGGTGAGTGCCACGTGCGGGGCTGCGGGCAGCGGTTCGCTGTGGGCACTGCCGGGTGTGCGGTGCTCAGCTGCACACTCTTGGTGCGGTTTTCTTTCTGGGTGTCGTTTTCTTTGGAAACCTCCGATATGGGCGCTTTGTGGCTGTGCTGCTACTTCTGCTTCACGTCGGTCCTCATCTGCTCGCTACGTTGTGCCCTCATGTGCTCTGGGCTCAGCAGCACCGGCTCAGCAGCACCAGCTCCGCCAATGGGGCTTTGGGGCAGACCTGACGCTGATGGAGAGGAGCAAATGCAGCACCCTGTGCTGGGATGCTGGAGGTGATGTTGTGATCTCTTTGCTGTCAGGAGAATGCTTTTAGCTGTGAGGTAGCGAGGACATGTGAGCTTAGGAAGAAAACAACAGTGGTTCTATTTTTGGCTTGGATATTCTGCATTTCTAAGGTCACAGAATCGTAGGGGTTGGAAGGAACCTCCAGAGATCATCGAGTCCAACCCACCTGCCAAAGCAAGTTCCCTACACCAGGTCATTACTACAAGCTTTGGGACAGGTCTGTCTGCCTGTGGAGGGACGGAATGGCTTTCTGTGCCAGTGGTGCCTTTGGTTGCATTTGTAGCGCAGCTGCTGTCACTGCTGCCAGGAGCAGCTGGGCTCAGTGACTCAGCTCAGTAAGAACAAACTGGTGGCTGAACCACTGCAGGTGACGCTGCTCCTGACTGAGCAGCACAAAGGTATAATTGTCCCAACTATATTTACCAAAATATTTGTGGTGTGGTAAAGCTTGGCTTCAAGTCTGCATAAATTCCTAGTGCCTACAGACTGCTCTTTGCTTTATTAAATGTGTGTACACGTGTTCTGCTGGAGCTCACTTGGAAAGGTGGATCGGGTTCTGCTCTGTTGTTTTGCCTGTCTGCCCTGGCTGCTGGCAGAGGGGTGACAGCTATTTTCATTGTCTCAGAGAGCGTGCGTCTATTGCAGATGCCTGGAGATAAGCAGGAACCTGAAAGGAACTTAAAGTAAAGCAAAGCCTTTTCAGTTTGGACGCAGAGCTCTTCTGAACCTAGGTGCGTTTCTCCTGCTGCAGGAGCAGTGATAAAGAAGGGGCATAGTCTAAGGGCAGGACTGTGGTCAGGGCTGCAGGCTGTGCCTGGCCGTCGGGCAGCGCCTCTGCTGCATCTGTGGTGAGAAAACTCGTGTGAGGCCCCTTTGGTCTTGGAATGATTTTCATTTCTTCATCTCCCTCTCTGATTTTTCTTTCTTTTCTGTCTTTTGAGGAATTCAGTTGGTTCTAGGGCTCCCCAGAACATACTCTGGTGCTGTGCTCTTTGGCGCGGTGCTGTGAGCCCCTGCCCTGTGTCCTGCGTTCCCCTTCTGCAACCACTGCTGGGAACCAGAGGTGCCATCCTGCAATGAACACGGATTAAGATCTGTGGGTGGGGGAGAGTAAGGGAGAGGAGAAAGAAGTCCTTCATCAAATCCCTGTCAAAGTTACATATTGGTTTACTGGGAGTGTCCCAATATTGGCATCTTGAGGATGCTGGATAATTTATTTGCTTGTATGTGGGAGCAGGAGGGGCCGTGCAGGGTGACTGTGCCACCGTTGTCCCAGTGGTGTCCTGCCGAAGGCCAGCATGCAGGTGTTGTGCATTCAGGAGCCACCGCTCACCACAGCTCATGGATCAGCACGCCTGGCCAGGCCCGGCCCCAGAGCAGAGATTTTGCTGCTGGTTTCTGTATGGAGCCCCGGGCAGCAGCCTGGGCTTTGTGCCCACCTGATCTCCAGCACCGTGCAGCACTGAGCACAGGGATGTGCTGCATCCACAGCGTGCAGTGCAGCTGCTTCCCAGCCCAGGCCTGCAGGATGGCTGAGCTGCTCTGCTCGGCATTGCAGCCCATCTCGGCAGCTCCCGGCACCCGGTTGGACAGCACGGTTCTCTTTTCTTTTTTCAGTCTGCAGAATTCTTCGAGATGTTGGAGAAGATGCAGGTGAGCTGCAGTGCGGTGCGGGGCGGCGTTGGCGTGAGATGTCCTGCAGGCGTCTGTGTGGTGGCAGCTTCTTCATTGTTCAATCTGTTCACTTTGTTCCAAACAGGCACCAAAACTTGAAGATCAGAAAGCTGGAAGCCAAAAACATAAGGTTTGTTGGATTTTATTTCTTGTGTGGATCTTTCCAAGAGTTCCCTGTTATCTCCAGAAATCGGGGCTTTAATGTGTGTAGTCAAAGGCAGTTGCTTAAAGGACTAAAAGGGATTTAGGAGTTATCTAAAAGCAAGGCACTGATTGAATTGCAGAGATAAGAGAGTGGTGCATGTAAATCCCTAATCCAGCTTTGTGTCCAAACCGGTGCATCTCGCTGTTGAGTGATGTGTGCTGGCTGGGTCTGTGGTGCTGTGCAGAAGGTGGCGTGGGTGCAGGATGGGCAGTGCCATGGGCAGAGCAGGGCAGAGCTGGGGCTGCACCCAGCAACATCACTTAGTGAGTTAAATTGGATTTCGGGTTCAGGGACAGATGGAACCCGGGGAGCAAGCAGTAGTGTGCAGTTCTGTGATTCCCTTTGCAGGAGGACTACATCCCATACCCCAGCATCGATGAGGTAGGTGCTCTGAAACATGCTTCTGTGCCCCCAGGGCAGTGCCTTTCCAGAAGTGTGTGGCAGTCTTGCTTCCAGCAGGAGCTGTGAGGCACGTTGCTCCTGCCCAGCTCTGCGGTGCCATACCTGCTCCTCACAGAGGAGTAGGGCACTGCAGAGGGGTGGGACCTACCCTGCGGTGTGGGGCAGCCCATCATCCTGTGCTTCCCCAGATCCTGGAGAAGGGCAGCCCCTACCCACTGGTCATTCTGCCCCAGTTTGGGGGGTACTGGATTGAGGACCCAGAGAACCTCGGCACGCCCACCTCATCCGACAGCAGTGTCTGCGAGGAGGAGGAGGAGAACTTCAGCCCCAGCCCCTATGGGTACAAGCTGGAGTGCAAAGGAGAGGCCAGAGCATACAGGAAGCACTTCCTGGGGAAGGTGGGTGTGGAAAGGGCAAGGGGTTGGCTGAAATGTCTCCTAGCCAGGAGAAAAAATCAGATCCCACAGTTGTGAGTGGAAAGGGCAAGTGCTGCAGCCTTGCTCTGGGCAGGGGCAGCAGGGCTGCTGGCTCACAGTGCTGGATGCTGTGCCTGGAGCCTGCGAGGCTGGAGGGGGGGAGTGTTGTCCTGCTGTGTGCTGAGCCCCACCACCCACCTGCTGCTTCTCTCTGCAGGACCACTTAAACTTTTACTGCACGGCCAGCAGCCTGGGAAACCTGATCCTGTCCATTAAGTGTGAGGAGATGGATGGCACTGAATATTTACGGATTATACTCAGGTACAGAGGAAAAATGTGCATTGTTTAGCAAAATGTCTTCGCCTTGAAATACTCTCCATTTGTTTATCTGTGAATACAGCAGGCAGGACGCAGCACACTGAGGGGCGTGGGGGGATCGGGGTGGGGCAGAAGCCAGAGGCACTGTCCCTATACTGCTCTGTACTGTGGTGAACACAGAGCTTTGATCTGTTGCTGAAATCACAGCTGGAACTCCTCATGATCCACTGTCATATCTGCTGCCATTTTTCCCCTAATCTGACAAGGGTGCCTGAGCCGTTGCCTCAATTCTCTTCCAAACAACGAATACTTTAAGAGGTGCAGAGATGAGAATAACGATGGAGCACTTCTTAACTGACCAAGCCCAACAGAACACCATGTTGCAGCACCTCCTGCAGTGTGCATGGCACAGAGCTGTGCTGCTGGCGGGCAGGGAGGCTGCAGTGCCTCGGGCTGCACGGGATCCTCCCCAGCTTCTTTTCATTCCTTTTTCCTTGTTAGGTCCAAAGTGAAGACGTTGCATGAAAGAATTCCTCTGGCAGGATTTAGCAAGCTGCCCAGCATCCCACAGATTGCGAAGGTAACCTGCATGGGGCTGCTCTGGGTGGGTTGCTGGATGAGCTCAGGGATGGGGAGGGGGAAGCTGCACCCAGGGACTGCCCCACTGCACCTCTGGTTAGCACCAGCTGGGCATCGCAGCAGGACGGGATGCCAGGGGAGCTCCTGCAGCTCCGGGCTGGGTGCGTCTCTCTGATAAGATGTGTGCAGCCATGTTGCCAGACTCCCCAGTCTGGGATGCCCACTGATGCTCACAGCACTTTTTCTTTGTCCCAGGCCTTCTGTGATGATGCCTCTGGACTGAAGTTTAATCCGGTTCTGTATCCCAAGGTGAGGAACTTACCTTGCATTCAGTAGAGATCAAGTTGGGATAATTCTGCCTTTTTCCCCATGATCCAGTAGCTTGGTTGTGGAGCATGGGAACTTGTGCAGAGCTAGGAGGATTCAGTACCTTTGAGAAAGATCTTCTCAGTGCTCTGTACAGATGCAGGGCACAGATACTGTTTTCCTTAGGGAATTATAGAATCGGGGTGGTGAGGCCCTGGCACAGGCTGCCCAGAGCTGTGGATGCACTATCCCTGGAGATGCCCAAGGCCAGGCCAGAAGGGGCCCTGTGCAGCCTGCTCTGGTGAGGGTCACCCAGCCTTCTGAGGGATTGGAACGAGGTGATCTATAAGGTCCCTTCCAACCCAACCATTCTGTGATACTATGGTGGTTCCATGAGATGCCCCTCGCCGGAGGGAAGGACACACAGGCTATGAGGTATGAACCAGCCCCAGTCTGGGTGTGGTGCCTGCAGTTTAGCTGAAAGCCCAGTAGGGCTGAGCCTGTCCTCGCTGTGATGGGGCTGGAACTCACTTGTTCCCCGCTCCAGGGTCACTGGAGCACTGCAAACTCTTGAGCTGCTGTAGAAACCCATTATGGGAAACTTTTACAGCACACTTCTCATCTTCAGCCGTTTGTTGTGTGTCAAACACATAGCAGGCTCAGCAGTGCATTGCCAGGACTTTCAGTGCCCTTTGATGTAGCCCAACTGAGGCAGTTTCATTCACCCATTCTCATTACCATCTTACCACCATCCATCACTGGGAGCTCAAGAGCAGCCGCTGCCACCCAGGACAGTGACCCCAGGTCCCACTCCTCAGCTGCCACGGGCTCCCAACTGTGCCTTGTTTCACTGCAGGCCTCCCAGATGATAGTGGCTTATGATGAGCATGAGGTCAACAACACTTTCAAGTTTGGTGTCATCTACCAGAAGTTCAGGCAGGTGAGTGAGCGCTGTGAGCATGGGGCATTGCTGTACCCGGCTTTGCACTGCGGTTGGCCCTGCAGGTAAATGAGTGCCACGTGCAGCACGCGCTGCAGCTGGTGTTCTTACCAACAGCAAGTCTCTGGTGACTTGGATAAGGCCCTGGCTCATTAAAATACAATGTGACTGAAGAATAATCAATATTAAAATCAGCTGTAGGGAGAAATGGATGTGGAAGTGCACTGTAGCAGCCACAGTGCCTTAATTAGATGTGTGTTCAGACAGTGCAAAGTGGTGCATTGGTGGGAGCTGTGAGCCATGCAGACACGCCTGTGAGTGCTTCCATTGGCCTGGGGATGCTGGCTGCAGAGCATGGGCACAGCTGGGTTGTATAATTTGCCACAGATGATTCTGACAGGCACCCTCATTATCTTTATGCATTGCGTTTTGTTTTGGATTGAATAACTCATAGAAGACCATTATCAAGGTCTCATTGTTTTGAAATACACACATGAAGGATTCAGGTAGGCTGCCCGTTCCTCTCCCAAGATGCGTCTATGTCTTTGCAGACTCAGGAGGAAGAGCTGTTCGGCAACAATGAGGAGAGTGCTGCCTTCAGGAACTTCCTAAATTTGCTGGGAGACACCATAACACTGCAGGACTTTAAAGGGTATGTAGAAAAGACTGATTTTACAAGTAAATTTAGCTAAAGACCATATAGTCTGTAAAGTATCTATCGTGTGAGAGCAGAAGTCAGCTCATTCATGAGCAGAACAGAGCAGCACAAATATAGCTCTGGCTCGTGGGTCACAGCTGGGGGAGTTTACAGAGGAGATGGAACTGCCGGCAGCACTTCGTCCCTGCAGCCCCGAGGCTGTGAGGCAGACTGCTGCAACTCGGCTGTAGAGGAAGGGCTGTGGGAGTGTGGCGGTGCCGTGGGGCTCTGCTCCATGCCTGGAGCTGTGACCATGCTGCATGCCTTGGGCCTCAGGCTGCACTGCACTACATGGCGCACAGTTTGTTCTTTTCTGTTTGCTAGCAGGTAGATAAAGACAAATGAGATGGTTTGTTCTGTCGCCTCATCCCCTGACAGCCACCAGCGGGCTCTGGTGAGCTGTCAATAAGTATTTCTGCCTTTCTCCCTGACTCTCCCCTCATTTCCAGTTTCCGAGGAGGCCTGGATGTCAGCCACGGGCAGACGGGGGTTGAGTCTGTGTACACCGTGTTCCGGGACAGGGAGATCATGTTCCACGTGTCCACCAAGCTGCCTTTCACGGAAGGGGACACCCAGCAGGTGAGGGATGAGCCTGGAGCGCCCACGGGGCAGAGCCACCTGCCCACACCAACCACGCTTTCCCTTTCCGCCCAGCTGCAGAGGAAGAGGCACATTGGCAACGACATTGTGGCAATTATCTTTCAAGAGGAGAACACGCCATTCGTCCCAGACATGATTGCCTCCAATTTCTTACACGCCTACATTGTGGTGCAGGTGGAGAACCCCGATGCAGACACTGCATCCTACAAGGTAGGGGATCTCAGCTCATGTCACGGTTTGCTCTGTCTGTGCATAGCCACGTGCATGACAGGCTGCATCTCCAAACCACACATTTGCTCATGTGTGCTCAGGGTGCTCAGGCATCTATATAACTGGAGAATGTATATATTGAGCATATGTGTGTACATGAACACATACATTTGTGTGTATACATACATATGTGTGCATATAAAGCGTGCCCATGTAGCAGTATGCTCATTTACAAGAGATTTTTGATGCCACAGATGTTGCAATGAACCCAGAACAGCTCATGCTGCCTAAACACAGAGCCCAAGTGCAGGTAGCATCACCCCTCCATCAGAGTTTCTCACTCTGAAAGCACGCTGCTTAGGGCCATGAGGGAAAAAGGTTTGTGAGAAGTAGATGTGTGCAGTTATCCCATGGGCTGAGGTGGGCTGCAGCCCGGGGCTGAGCTGGGGGCATCGCCCCATGGGGCTCTGTGCTGCGCACTGCCCCCAGCCCACCGCTGCCTGCCCACACAGGTCTCCGTCACGGCCCGGGAAGACGTCCCCTCCTTTGGCCCACCACTGCCAAGCCCGCCAGTGTTTCAGAAGGTGAGACAGGACTGAAAGTGCATGCCAAGTTGGGAATTGTGTGTGGGTGTGAGTCTGGGATGCCTCAGGGCACACCTGGAGGCAGAGCTGGGTGTGGGGTCTGTAGGATCGTGGCTCAGTGCTACCAGCAGCAGGACAATGCAGATGCCCAACCCTCCACTCTCACTCCTAGAGCCCCGAGTTCCGGGAGTTCCTGCTCACCAAGCTCATCAATGCTGAGAACGCCTGCTGCAAGTCAGACAAGTTTGCGAAGCTGGAGGTACGGCTCGCTGCCTTTCTGCCCCCTACTGCCCCACGTCACCCCCACACTGCCCTAGGACTGCTCCTCCTTGCTCTGAGCTGGGTCAGCTCTGAGACAAGCTCAGGAACCAGCAGAGTGAGCTTCCTCATGTCCTCACACCTGAGGCTGTCCTGCTGAGCCTGGTGTCATTCCCCAGGACCGGACACGTGCTGCCCTGCTGGACAACCTTCACGATGAGCTCCATGGGCACACACAGACCATGCTGGGGATGGGGCCTGAGGAGGACAAGCTGGAGAACGGAGGACACGGGGGCTTCCTGGAGTCTTTCAAGGTAAACCTCAGTCCCTCCCCAGCAGGAAAGTTAACGTGTACTGAGGGCTGGAAGGTGTCTTTGTGGAAGGTGCAGATGGGGTTCTGGGCATGAGTGGCCCTGAAGGCAGAGGAAGGTCCAGATGTTGCTGGCCTCATGCTGTGGGGGTGAGTGTAGGCTCTGCTGCATCCCGTTGGGGCACAAGATGCAGAAATTGAGGCACGATGCAGCTGTCCTGCGTCATACCACAATCTGAGGTGCTGATTGTTCTCTCTGCGCTGTGGCGCACGGAGAGCAGACGCGGCTTTTGGGCTTGCAGGGTGCGCTGGGCCGCGTGGTGCGCCCGGCAGGTGGAGCTGGCATCGTCCTGCCCCGCCGCCTCGGGGCTGCGCTGCTGGGCTGTGTGCTGGCATACCTCCTGCGCTGTGCGCTCTGAGCACCGTGGGGCTGGAGCAGGGTGGGATGTTCTTCTGCTGGTTGCATCACACCGACAAGCTCTCGGCCCCTTCCTCCTGTTGGCTCTGTGGGCACTCAGCTGGCAGGGCATGGTAGGGGACGTGCCGTGCATGGAGCGCTGTGCCGGGGCGCTGGCAGTGCCAGGAGGAGATCCTCCTGCCCGCACACTGCCAGAGCTGGCAGCAGAGCGACCTGCTGCTCCTGCCCACAGACACTGTCAGTTTGTACAAGTTGCTGATCCCAATAAATCCAGTCTGATGGATGCTTGCTTGCAGCTCGTTACTCAAGGGGCAGGAGGGGACACTGTGGTCCCTGTGCGGTTCGGTGCTGCAGGGTGCGGTGTGGGTTGGTATTGAGGGGTTTTACACGGGGCTGAAGCTGACAGCAGAGCGGTGCCTATCCATCGTGGATGCGGTGTTGGAAGCCTTCAAAAACACGGCCTTTGGAGGCTTGTTTCCTCTGACACCTCTGTGTCCTGAGCTGTGCTTAAATGGTCTGGAGGAGGACATAGCCGTGGCCTGCTGGGTAGCACAGCAGAAATTCAGGAGGCAATAGCTGCAAAGGGAAACTTTCCTGTAATTGGCACACCAGTATCACAGTCCAGTTTGGGCTCTGGTTGCTATGGTTATCACAGTAATTAAAATAAGTGTACAGATTTTTTTAACTTGCGCATTTCCCTGCTGCTCTTCATGGTGTGTGCCAGACTTCCAAAAGATCTCGTGGTCTTATTTGTGAGTGCCTGGGACAACAACTGAGGGAAGGCTTTAAAAATAGCTCGAGTCCTGTTCAAGCATCCAAAATGGGTGTTCAGATTCGCAAAAGGTCTCTGCCTCCTGCATGCACAGCTCTGGTTCCAACAGTTTGAGTCAAAACACGTTAAAGTCATCGTCAGCCCCCACGTGTTCAGTTCCTGCTCAGAGATGGCACCTTTGCTTCTTTCTCTGCACCCCTGGACCGCCCTGCAGGGGCTGCACAGCCCTCTGCGCTCCCTCCCTGTATCCCACTGTCATCGGGATGGCCCCATGCTGCCAGAGCGGAGGGCACCGCAGCCCTTTCATGGTGCAGAGCCGGGGCGGTGCTCGAGCTCCCAGGGTCTGCTCCTTCCTAGGAAGCAGTGTGCACTGGAAGTGGCACAAACGTCTCAGGGCAGCTGGCAGCAGGCTATGGGTTGCTGCGTGCTGCATGGGAACTGTCAGCCGTGCAGGGGCAGGAGGGGCAGAGGGGGCTCCTCGCAGAGCCTTCCTGAAAACTCGGGGAGCGGTGCTGGGTGTGTGGTTGGATGCTGCCCTGCCGCCGGGCTGCGCTGTCGCTCCTCGGGGGTTCTACAGGGAGGGGCCTGGGGCTCTGGGGCTTTGGGTGGCAGTGGTGCCGGGGTGTTGGTAACTGCTGTCTCCTGTCCCTCGTGGCCACAGAGAGCCATCCGCGTGCGCAGCCACTCCATGGAGACAATGGTGGGCAGCCAGAGGAAGCAGCATGGCGGCGGCATCCCGGGCAGCCTGAGCGGGGGCATCGCGCACAACAGCAGCGAGGTGACCAAGACCACCTTCTCGGTTAGTCCCGTGGCCCTCTGTCCCACTGTCTGTGTGTGTGTCCACTCCCTCCCATGCCTGCAGGGTGCTGTAGGAGTTTCTCAGATGGCACTGTGCGCTCCTCGAGCTCGGGCTGTGTGGTTCTTTCAGCCCCCGGTCTCGGCAGCCGCGGCCAAGAACCAGTCGAGGAGTCCCATCAAGCGCCGCTCGGGGCTGTTCCCACGCCTGCACACAGGGTTGGAGAGCCAGGCAGACAGCAGGGCGCGATGGTAAGCGTGACATTCCTGGTGCTGAGGAGCCCTGCAGTGTGGCTGTGGTGCCAGAACCTCCCTGTTCTGCATTAGGGCTGTTTCTGCCACGTTCAAGGCTGGGGTGTCTCGGATCCCTTCCCTCTGACTTAAAGATATAGTATTCAAAGAGCATCTGTTACTCTGAGTTTTGGCACATGGTGCTAGAAATATAATTTGACCATTCGTTTTAAGTCTCCCCACACAGCCTTTTTGTGCCCTCAGTGACAGTATTTCTGGAGCACAGAAGACACCAGATGTTGGACATTCATCCCAGGAGATGAAATCTGAGACCTCATCCAACCCCAGCTCCCCTGAAATATGCCCCAACAAAGACAGGTGAGCAGCACAGAACCAAACTGCCGCAGTCCCTACAACCAACACCCAGAGAACCAGGGGCCGTCAAAAATAACATCTCCAGATTCTACTATGAATAAGTTGGATAAGTACTGTGAATAAGTTGAGGAAGTAAAATAGAGGTTCTGGTGATTCACGTGCACTACTCTACTCTTTTATCATCTGAAAATAGCCATCTTTAGAAAAGAGCAGCAGCAAGGAGCCACGTTGGCAGGAGTTTCCAAACCCTGCAGGTTGGGGCAGGCACATGGAGTGAGATCCCTGTGCATGTTCCCACAGCTACCAGATCCTGTGTTCCTCCTTTGGAGGGGAATGCTCCCAGCCGTGCCCCGACTCCGTCCCATGGTGGCTACTCTGTGCCCAGCAGAGCTCATCCCACAGTGCTCAGCTCGGTGCTCGGTGCAGTGACCGCATGCTTTACTTAAGTGTCTCGTCACCCCCTAGGCCCTTTGTCAAGCTGAAGGAGAACGGCCGATCCAACATCTCGCGCTCCTCCTCGAGCACCAGCAGCTTCAGCAGCACGGCGGGGGAGAGTGAGACACTGGAGGAGTACGACAGCGTGGTAGGAACCCAGTTCTGTGCTGCAGCTCTGGGGGGGGTCTGCTTCAAGTCTGGGGGCTCCTTGGGGGGGATGCCACAGCCTCGTGCCCCTGTATGATCCCGGTGGGTGCCGGTGTCATCCCAGCAGGGCGGAGGGAAGTGCGCGTGTCCACTTGGGTTGGCTCCTATGGGATTTATTGAACAACCCTGAAGGATGAAGGTTGCTGTTCCGTGCTGAGCCATGCTGTGCCACGTTTTGCTGTTCTGTGCCATGCTGTGCTGCAGAGTGCAGCTCTGCTGGGCACGCTCAGAGTGCCGGGTAGCAGCTCGCTACAGGGTGTGGAGTTGTGTCCCACTCTATCCGTGCAGGGCAGCCAGCCATCCACAGCATCGCCCTTCAAGCAGGACGTGTTCATCTACAGCGCATCGCCTGTCAGTGATAGCCCGAGCGTGGGGGCCGCGGCCACCCCGGTCATCATGAGCCGGAGCCCCACAGGTGGGTTCTGGGGCAGCCTGGTGTGGGAGCAGCTATGGGAGAGGCAGTGAGGATGCAGGATGTGGGGCCCCGACTGTGAGCAACTCGCCCAGCTCACCCATACTGCAGCACAGAGCTCTAAACCAGCACAGGGGGGCTTCTAGGACTCTCCTGATGGACATTTGCAGTAGCCTTGGAAACTCGCTGTCTCCAAGGAATAAGGTGTGACTCAGGAGTTCTTTAGTAACCAAGCAGCTCTCCTTGAGCCTGGCTCTATTACCCCTCCTGCTAACCAACTCTGCACTAATTCCATCCATTGGAGCCAATTAGCAAAGTGAGGTACGAGTCAACGCGAGCCAGACGGGCAGAGCGGGCGCCCGCCCCTCACCGCGCAGTGCAGCGCTGCAGTTTCCCTGTGCGCTGTGGTCCTGCTGGAAGGAGCCAGGATTCAAATGAAAGCACACATTAGGAACTCGGGAGCTCTTTGCAGAACAGCCGGAGAGCTGCAAATCCACCAGTAACAGCTTGGTAATTGGGAGCAGCTTGATAATTGGGAGAAGCTCCGGAAAAGAGCTGGAAGTGCAGCCTGGCTCTCTTTCCTTGGTATCAGCACCTCAAGTCCTTCTTGTTTTATTAGCAATTTTCAGAATGAACAAAACAGCGTTTTTAATGCTTAAAGTGTTTATTTTGCATTTTCCTGCCAAAAGCATTGAAATCCATACTTACATAGATCAGTCATTTGCTGCAGCCTTTTCAGTGGCATTTCCAGTAGAAACACTCTGAGATGTAATTAAGCCTCAATTTATTCCATCAAAAACACTTAATGTACAGATTTTGCCAAACGTTCAGTCAAGATAGACTAAATATTGGTAACATTGGTGACAAAATATTAAAGTTCCTGGCTGCCGCCTGATTCAGCAACCGGTTTGCTCGTGGGTTATTACTTCGCTTTGCTTTTCTCCACCCTCCAGCAGATATAAAGAACAGAAACTCCCCGAGGTCAAACCTGAAGTTCCGCTTCGATAAGCTCAGCCACGGCAGCTCCAGCACGGTACGCAGCGTGGGGACGCCCTGCAGGCACAGCGCGGGGCTGCGGGGCAGTGCTGCTGTGTGTTGCTGTGCCTTTGTCTGCAATCCAACCTGAATTCTGGTTTCTCGTTTAGAGTCACTAGCAGGAAAAAAGGAAGTCGAGAACTTTTCAGCGGTGAGTATTTGTAACACTGTTGTGTGACATGATTCATCTCATCTCAGGTCCAATGCATATCCTTTAACGACAGCACGCAGCGACCAATTGCAGCGCTTATTATTAAATGCGTGGTCAGTACCAGATCTGTGGGCATCCTAAATGCTTTTGTAAGGTGAGGGCAGCACTGAGCGAGAAAGACGGTAGTGATCAATGATGGTCGGTGCCCATCAGTGCCACGACGTAGCGCTGCATTTTCTTTCTCTGTTTCTTGAGTATCTCTGACACTTTTCTCTCTCTCTGTCTCTCTCTCTTTTTTTTTTTTTGTTTTTTTTCCCCAGAGGATTTTTGTTTCAGCAAAGGGAAAACTTCACCTCCCCGTGGGAACGCACACACCTCACACTCCAGCACGGTGCCCTCCCCGCTGCAGCCGACCCTGTGCCCGCCGGAGGACATCACCTCCCTCCCGGCCCCAGCAGTCCTAGCCCTCCCCGTGCCCCCCTGCCTCCCCTACGGCCCCAGCAGGCTGCGGGCAGGGAGCTGGGGGGGCACCGGAGAGGTTTGAAGTGTCCCTCAGGTGCTTGCACCGTCCATGCACACACACACCCCTGGGAGTTTTTTTCCCCTTGGCAGGCACGGGCAGCTCTGGTTCTCTGCTTTTGGAGCTGGTGCGGCAGTGCTGTGGGACCGGGGCCCACGCGCTGCCCCTACTGACCCCACCCCCAGCTCTTGGGCTGCAAAATACCTGGGGCCGCGCAGCCCCGCGCTCCCCGGGTGCTGGCACGCGGTGCCATCTGCCTTCTCTGCGTGGCCCGAGTGCTTCTTCCCTGCCCAAAACTCCAGCGTGGGCCCGGGACAGACCGAAGCCAAAGCTGCGGTGTAACCGAATCCCAGACTGGTGCTCGGAGCACTGAGCCTGCGGGATCTGCCTCGTCCCGGGGCTGCTCCATCCGCCGGTGGCCGGCACGGCATTGGCCTGCTCCGCCCTTTGCAACATCAGCCCCCGCCTCTGAGCGCGCGTCCGTTCACTTCGAAAGAAGGCGGTTACGGCTGTGCAAGGTGACACCTCCCCGTGCCGCTCTGCAGAAGATGCTCCTGCCCGCACAGATATCCCTCGGCCCTTAGGGAGCTTTGCCTAAGGTTCGCTGTAAGTCTGTCTACTATGTTCAGGGTGGTCACGGATTTCCCCCATCCACTTTTTAAATGCTGCAGAGGTGCAGCGCTGCACCTCGCCTCAATCCGTCACACTTGCAAAAGTAACGGCCAGAAGCGACGTTCTTCATTTCAAATGGAAGCCGTTTTTTGAGTTCATGATTCCTAACGACGCACAGCTGGCAGCGCCAAAGCCGCCCGCGCGCAGCTGCAGCCCCCGCCCACAAACGGCCCGGCGGTGCGCGCCGCGTGGCGCCGTCTGAAGGAAGGGCTGCGGGCCGGTGGGGCGCGTTAACGAAGGAATTAACGATCCGATTGACGAAGGAATCGCGTCGCGGAGAACGCGAGGACTCCCGACGGGCGCTGAGCGCTCCCTCCCGCGGTCCGTGAGTTGCTTTTAAGTCGCGTTTAAACCTCGAGCTGCTCTTTGCCGGAGGCGGTTCCCCTCGCTTTGCTGCCCCCCGGGGGCGCCGAACCCTCGCCCTTCCGCGGAGTGCTGCGCTGCGGGGCTGCCGCGCGCCCGGGGCTCGGTGCGGCTTTCCCGAGGAGTTGTGTGGTTCTGTGCGTGTCGTTGTTTGCGCGCGTGTTGATCTCTGTGAGATCTTTCAGCAAATGCAGTGGCTGCTCTCGTCCGGGCTTTTGTTTTCGGGTCGTTGTTTTGTTTCTGTTATTACTTGAATCTGCAAGGCTCCTTCTGACCCGGAGCGGTTTGTCGGAGGGCTCTGGGAGGGCTGCGGCCCCGAGGCTGAAGCGATGCGTGGGGCGTCGCGGGCCGCGGCGTGGCTCCCCGCTCTGCCCGGGCTGACCGTGCGGGGAGGCCGTGCGCTGGCGGAGCGCGGAGGGGTTTTGTGCTCCAGCGGTGGGTGAGGGCGTTCCTGCATATATATTGCAAAACGTTTTGTGCTTCTACGTGACACACGCACACATGTACACACCTGCATACAAATGGAAGTGCTTTTTTTTTTTCCTGGGTAAAAAGGGACCGTCCCAAGCACAGACTCAGTTTCTTTACGGAGTTTTGGGCTCTGTGGCGACGGCAGACGCAGGGCCGGAATGTTTCCTTGGCACCGGCGGGCACGGTAACCCTGATAGAAGCCACGACCCCGGGTTTCCTCAGCTGCTGCAGGGGCAGTCGGTGCCGGCGGTGCCACGTGGCCCCGATCCCCGCAGGGCACATTGCACCCACACTGCAGGGCTGCGTGCGGCTGCGATGTGCTCAGCTCGGACCCTCAGAGCGTGCTTTGTTGTTGGAAGGAATGTAGCACTGCGTATATCCTGCGAAGGAAAATGCTGAATTTATATCATTAGAATGTGAAGAGAGTTTATAGAGTGAAAAAAAAAATCTTGGAAAAATGTATCTGACAGAAGTTTATTTTTTATGTGGAGAGGCGGCGCTTCGTAGTTCCTGGTGGCCTATGTCTGTTGTAAATAATGTACATTTAATTTATTGCTATAGTAGCAGATTGTATTTGTTATGTATAAAACTAAAGGTTCACAAATGTATATTTTGTTGCTTAAATGTGTCTTTGCAAAATTCACAATAAATAACATATTTTGTGTCCATATGTTGCACACATCTGTGCGAGCATTAGCCAAGCATGGAGAGGATGCTCTCTCCCTCCTAGGATGCTACAAAATGCTTTCATTTTTTGGGATAGTGTCTGTGTTTTTTCCCTACAGACTGGGCTGAATGATGAACAGTGCTTTTGACCAGCATTTTTTTTTCAGCATTTAGTGATGAGAGTGAGCCCATGGATGTGCCAATGTGAGAACAGGATAATGTTGTGTGGTGGGAGTGGGTGGCAGAGGGGCCAAGGAAGAACAAAACCAAACCTACAAAGCTTGGGTTCTCTAAATCAATCTTTATTACAAAAATAATTCTTGCAGCTTCCCCCTTTGCCAGTAACTGGGAAGATTGCTTCATCCACCCTGGCATTCAGCAACAGCCGTCACCTTCAGCCTACCCCAGCCCCCCGCTCTCCTGCACTGAGGCATCCAGCAGTGCCGACGGCACCTGAAGCTCGTGGGGCCGTGGCTGCTCCTTGCTGGAGCACTGCGCCTAGTAAGGTTTGGGCTGGGGAGAGAGAGAAGGGAGTTTAGTGCTGAGCACGAGGGAAAGCACTGACAGTCGTGGGAGAAACAGGAATGTGAAGCGCACCCACCTTAGTTGTGCTCCTCGCTAGGGTGGGCAAAAAGGAAAACAGAAAAAAAGAAAGGCTGTGAATAAAAGGACAACAGGCAGGGTCTGCAGCCTCACTGCATCTCGGGGGCATCTTGGCACAGAATTGCTCTGCATGGTATAGCCCTCTCCCCTCCAACCCAGACACCCCCATCCCCCCACCTGAAGCTGTTCTCACCTTTGTGGAGGTGATGGAGTGCGGCCACAAGGCACCCAGTGAGGCCCAGCAGCAGCAGCAGCAGCCAGGTGGTGGAGGTCGCTTCTGCAGATGAATGAAAAGAAGAAGGATGGGGATAAATGAGGGCTGGGAACAGGATGGCTTTTTTGTTCGTTTTACTCAAAGCATTGCTGAGAACAGGGATGGGTGAGTGGGCCATTCTCCAGCCCTCCATGGGATCAGTGCCCGGACAGCACCAGCACAGAGCTCGGTACCTCTCACTGCCACGCTGACGCTCCTGCGGATGGGTGCCTGCAGGCTGGAGTGCTCCACGCGGCACGTGTAGGTGTGGCCGTCCTCATGCAGGGTCGCTGTCAGCAGGAAGAACCTGGAGAAGCTGTAGGTGCCGTTGCTGCTGCGCCGGTGGCTGCTGGTGAGGACGTTGGGCACGGTGTCAGGGAGCCGCCCGGCGCCCCGCGGCTCACGGAGCCACTGCACGTGGATGTCCCCAGGGTAGTAGTTGCGGATGTCGCAGACCAACTTCTGCTGCTCCCCTTCCACCAGGGATAGGGAGTTCACGTTGACGGTCACTGTGGGCTTTTCTGGTGAGCAAAGATTTATGGAACCATTGGCTTTCTCGGCTCGCCGGTTCTGTCTCCATCATCGAGCTGAACTGACCACAAATCTGTGCGCTGTGTCGGAGCGCCGTTACCTGTTATCTGCAGCAGGACCGCCTGCTCCAGCACGAGGGCTGCCGCCTGCACCGCGCAGATGTACGTCCCCTCGTCACCGAGCTCCACGCGCCGGAGCAGCAGGGATGCGTTACCGCGGGGCTCCTGCGGGAACATCTCAGCGCGGCCGCCGCCGGAGGTGGTGATGCGCCTCTCGGGCCGCCCCTTCTGCCGCAGCGCCCATCTCACGGCCACGGCCGCCCGCGGGTCGGCGTCGAAGGCGCAATCCAACACCGCGTCCTTCCCCAGCGCCGTACGGACCCGGGGCAGCCGCGCGCGCACCGCCAGCACCGCTGCGGATCGGGACGGCGGTGAGGTGGGCGGAGCGGGGCCGGCTGCCACCCGGACAGCCACGCCGCGCGCGCCGGCTCTGCCCAACCCCGCGCCGGGTGCGAGCCCAGAGCCCGAGCTGCCACGCTGCGGAGGGTTACTGCTCGTATCGCTGTCCCTGAGCAGTTGCTAAGCCTCATTTGTGCCTCGCTATATACGACAGAGAGGGAGATGTGGTGATTCCCCTACATCTTAACATTGGATTTAATGAAGCAACACCTCCCCAAGCCGGAAGCTTTGCAGAGCTGTAGGGGGAACGGAGCGCTCCGCGGGACTTCAGCATGGGCTGCAGAGCGAGCGAGGGGGCTGAAAGCTCCCCCGGGTGGCAATCAAAGCCAGCTGAGTCCAATTAGCCTGGGGGGGAGGAGTACGGTGGGGCTGAAAAAGAGAGCTGGGAAGGGGTCTGCCTCACTCGGTGGTGTGGCTTGCTTGGATGTAGCTGTCTCGGAGAAGCCCCTGTGATGGGGTGAGTAATAAATAAAAATTTGTTTTTTCTTATGGGGGAGAGGCGATATGGGGTAAGGGGGAACGTGGGGGGTGTGAGTGCTCGCGCTGTGTTCTTGGCTCCAGGCAGTGCTGCTCGCTATGCTGCCCTCTGCTGCAGTGCCTCGTGGCGCGTCCCCACTGTTGGACCGCGGAGCCCCGGTCTCCCTGTTTTCAAGCACTAGAGCCGCTTATCTGTGCTCAGCTACGGGCGGGCCCTGGCAGGGTGCGGTTCAGTAACGACAGTCTGCAGGCTGGACCCGGAGCCCCGTTTCTTGTCCGGGTGAGGCTGCAGCTCTCTGGCAGACGCTAATTGCTTTCTGCTCCTTCTCTAGAGCCTTCTCCCTCAGCTCAGCAAGCAGCTCATACTGTGGGTTGCGCTTCCAGTGCAAATACTGTGGAAGTGCTCTGCCTGCTGAAAATCTTAGATCAGCCTTAACTTGTGTCTGTGTTAAAGCCTTGGTGGCTTCTGTATTTGCTGCTGGGGCTCTTAGAGACGATGGTAGAGAACTACATAAACAGAAAACAGTTATGCTTTTGAGAAGCTGCTTTGAAGTTATTCATTTCTGCAGAATGCACAGCTCAACACAAGGGAAAGCATATGCTTTTCAGTAAATGCATTTTACCTTACAGTTGCTAAAACGTTATCTTGAGCTATCTGTAAACTTATGGGGCTGGTAAAAATAGTCTGAGGTCTGTAAGCCCAGAAGAGAAGTGTCTGGGTGATGACATTAAGCAACAGCTGGTGGGATACAGAAAGCCAGGCTGGGAGTTCATTGCACCCCAGCATAGCTGGAGAGGAACAGGTGGCTTCCCTCTACATAATCCCTGTGAAAACGACTCCAGCTTGAAGCTTGGGGTGCAGTTTGGGACACAGCTGAAAGAGCTCAGTGGTAGTTGCTTGCTAATTACCCTTACAGCCTGCAGGCCTGAAAGTTGTGCTCCAACCCCCCCTTCCCCTCCCCTCTCTCTCCCCCTTCCCCGTGCTTCGTTAGGAATGTAAGCATGTACGAAGTTCCCCAGAGGAGCATTACCTGACACGTGTGTCTGCTCTGCGATGCCCTGGTGAAGGTGTCCTGGAGTTTGGTGCTCTCTGTCCTCGTGGCCTTGCACAAGGAAGGCTGTAGCTGTGTATTTCTCAGCTGTGTGCTTTATGGTGCAAGTGAACCAGGTGTCCAGGCTGTGGGCTCGAACCTCCCTCCCAGGCCAGAGGATCTGAGTGTTGGCTGTAAAGTAATAGCTGATCCTGCAGTCAAGCATGTTGATATCCTCATCTGTGTGCTGCAGAATATTCACCGAGGGCTCTGTGAACACATGCGTGGACCCATTATCATCCTGGCTCACCTAAGGGCAGTGGAAGCAGCCCCCTGTATGCACACAGCTCTCAGTGTGGTCCTGCCCTGCTCTGTCCCACCCTGGTGCACTCCAGCAGGAGTGATCTCACTTAGCTGGGACGACATCCTGCCCAGCACTGCTGGATTTTGTCCTGGGGTGGGGTACACAGCTGCCTTTGTTGTGTGGGAGGGGGTCGGTTCTCCCAGCGCCCCAGGTTGGGCTCTCACAGCGCAGTGGTCTCATTGGATGCAGATCTTCAGCGGGAGGTGAAGCTGCTGTGCCGAGTAGGGAAATGCTGAATTTTCTGTCACCCCATCAGCTGAAGCACAGCAGGGCTGCCTGTCTGCTCACTTCTTGCCAGGAGCCAGGCTTGGTCCTCTGAGCACATAGCTCACCTTGTACAATGAACGAGGGCAGGTTGTCTGCAGGAAGGCTTTCTGTCTGAGGCCTTTGAGCGCCTTCTGCTCCAGCCACAGGCAGCAGCAGCCTGACGTTCAGCAGCACGGTCTCTGTTTCGTTGGACAGGGGAATGGTTTTTCTCATTTCAAATACGCAGGGAAGTTGCAGGCTCCTCCTGAGCCCCGGCTCTGCAGAAGCAATGCTGTTCGGGGTCCTTGTGATTACTGGAAAGTAGAGATCGTGCACGCTCGAGCTACTTTTAAAATTTTGATAGTCGGTTTTGAAATCGCCCCATTGATGCGGGAGGTGCCGAGCGGCGGCGGAGCTCCGCGCTCCTTCCCACCGCCCGCGTCCCCTCCGCTTCCCAGCCGCTCCCGCAGCGCAGCCGCCGCACCCCCGGCCCCGTCCCGCACATACCGGCGCTCAGAAGGCAGCCGGCCGCCAGCCACGCTGAGCAGCCCATCGCTCCCTGCCCGTCCTTTTGCTTTCGTTCCCTTTCGCTTTCTCTTTCCCCGGGCGCGCAGCGGGAGGGGCTGCCCGGCACCGCCGGGATGGGGCGGTCGCGACCGGGCCCGAAGGCTCGGATTGCACCGCACCGCGCCCAGCGGGACCCGCAGCGCCATTCGCTGCTGCGCGGCGTGCCCGGGGCGGCGAGCCGCTGCCCGGCGTCAGGGACGCGTTTGCTGGAAAAGGGAGCCCTCTGGGTTGTTTCCCTGCACTTTTGGGTGCAGCAATAACAAAATACTACAATAACAACGAAACTCTAACTTTTATTGAACAGTAAAAAGGCAACTCCAACCTCTACGTCCATCAAGTACAAACAACATAAATATTCTGCCTTGTAACCGACACCAAACAAGTGAAACCAGGAAGGGCCTTCAGCTGCAGCCGGGTCCTGTCCGTACTGGAGAGCCGCCTGCTGGCACCAAGTGTGGCCGCATCGATCCCCGCAAGGTGCCCGGTGCTGGGGCTGCACTCGGCGGCTCTGAGGCCATCCGGCCCTGCAGCCCGGAGGCTGTGCCCCATTGCCCGGCCCTGCAGTGAGGAGCGCCGCCTCCCCGCAGGGCACAAAGCTGGGGCTGGGCAGGGTGAGAAGAATGCTTTCCCTAAGAGTTTGCAAGGAGAGGAATGAATCGTTTGTTCAAACCAGCCAGTGGCCGTCAAAATACACCTCGTGAATGAACTGGGACATCTTTATTTTGACTCTATGGGTGAGGAAAAGATATGCAGCAGTGTTAATCTGATGAGAACAAAGCAGAGCTGTGCTGCCCCAGCTGCCTCTCGGAGCATAGCCGCACAGCGGGCAGCACACCTGGCTCAGAGAGCTGTGGGCATTTTACAGTCAGGGTGGTGGCACAGGGCTGGATGGTGGGGGACTCGGGCTGCAGCACAGCAGAGCTGCAGGTTGTGAGCAGTTCTCACTGTGTGAGACATGAAATCTAGTTGTTATGCGGCGTGGAACTCTTGACAGTTCCTTGTGTATGGAGCAGTATCAGCCCAAGGTTGTTAAGTTAAACTTCGTGGTGTGAGGCAATGTCAAGATTTAAAGGTAAACAGTTAAGATGTACCTTTAAAGAGGAATATAAATATTTACAAACCTGACAGATGGGCGACTTTGAAGTTAAAAGCTGACTATTGCAGCCATAAAGTTACTCTGTGGGATCTGCTGTGTCACAGCCTGGCCCAGGGGTGAGCTCTGGAGCTCAGGGGCAAGCAGTGCACTCCTCAACTTGGTGCAAGGGTGAGCAGCTGAGGGAGCAGCATCTCTGGGCAGATATCGCACTCCTCTCACACCCTCATCAGAAGGGCTGAATTCGTTTTTTTTCTTCACTGTCTTTCGTTGTTCCATAGTGCTTGTGGCCCAGCAGATGGCACTGCCATCACCCTCCTCTGCTGCATTTACCCAAAGAATGTGGACTTCGCTTGGGAGAGAAAGAACTTCAGGGAGCCCTGGGGTTGCAGCTGTGCTGCCTCATCTCTGGAGGAGCAGCCCCAGGCTGCGGATGGGGCCCTGACCCGGGGGGCTCCATGGTGGGAGCCCTCTGAGGTCCCTTTCAACCAAACTGTTGTATGGTTCTAGAAAAACACCTGGTAACAGATCTCACTGCCTCCTCCATTCTCACAGTTCAAATGAGGTGTGAAGGCTGTGGGATCAGACATTTGAATTCAGGTTCCATATGATTTCGAGGGCAGCAATCGAGGTAAAGTGTTTGCTTTTGGAGGTACAGGCAGTCTCAGCTATAAGTGGTGTGTTTGAGAGTACTCAGCTGCTAAGTCTGCTCATCAGGTGAAGAGTAAAAGCAAATACTGCAAATCCTTTTCCCAGGAAGTCATTAACTCAGACTGACCTCCAGGTTGGGGCTGTGTTTTCTGGACAGGAAGCTCATTCAGTTTTAGCACAAGCGAGGACCTCATTCTGCTCAGCCTTGCATGTTTCAGGCATTCATCAGAACTTACTGCAGAAGTAGCTGCAATTACAGCACGCTGTGTACACAATTGGTACAGCTCTTACTCCATATAATTTTGGTCTTAAGATGTTCAAATCAGGATCCTAATTTTCCATGTCTTAGACATGCACAATGAATGGCACTTGGAAGCCGTGCTACTCTTCATTTTCTTAAGAACTATGGAACGTCCAATCAAACATGAATCTGAGCATAAGAGCAAAGTAGTCTTTACAGCATTTATCTGCTAAAAGTGTATTACTAAATTATGTACTGAATTAAGGTGTTTTCTTTAGATATGGGACTGCTTTTAGGCTTGGCCAACTTCCTTTAGTGCTAGTGGTGGCAATGGCGATGAGGAGGCGGTTGGACTAGATGATCTTGTAGGCTGTTTCCAACCTTGTGATTCTGTGATTCTCACCAGGGAGCAGTCCTTCATTTTCTGTGCTGCAGAATGCATTACTGCTTTGCTTTGTCTTCCATTTGCTCATCTCCTGCTGCCCCACGGTGTTACAGCGCAGCTCAATGGCCCTCCCACACACCTGCCTTTCAACTGTCCCGTGCTGCAACTTGATAGCAATTGTTAATGATGATGCCCTGCTTACTTCAGAGTTCCTGTTCGTGTGCCTATGGCGGGACAGTGTTGTCACATCTGAGCCTTACTGCTCTGCGTCATCATGTAAACATCGGGCTGCTGGGGATGCTCGTCGCCTGCCCTGCAGGGCGCCGCGAGGCGATTCGGGCCTGACTCGGTCGCAAAGAGCTCCGTGCGCGCGCGGCGCTGCTGCGCCTGCAGGTTGGCGCTCCGGCCGCCAGGTGGCAGCAGCGGCACGCGGCTGAAGCGCGGCGCTCGGGTTGGGCGCGGGCGGCGGCGGCCCGCAGTGCGCGGCGCTCCGCGGTCGCCGGGGGAGGTTTTTTCCCGGCCGATGCACGCGGCCTTACGGCAAATAGGAAAGCTGATGGGAACTGTCATGGAGCGGCTTAAAAACGCGTCTGATCTGCGCAGATGAATTAATGTAATTTGTCACAGCTCTCAAAGCTTGGGAGAACGAGCCGTGCAGAAGGGACTGCGGTTCATCAGCACCTCCCGATGCGTTTGTATAAGCAATACCGAGGTGGTAATTTGATGTCTCTCTTGTTGTGCATCAATTGTTTTATATAAATAGTGCTTTTTGCAGGCATTGTGTTTTCTTGGTATGAGGCATCGGCCCCTCAGCAGAAAGTCCCTACAAAATTAGAAATAATGATTCAACAAGTAATTTCAGAGTCAATACAGAGAAAGAGACAAACTGGCTTTCATGTACTGCTGGGTAACACAACAGCACTACGATTGGACTGAGCTCAGAAATTTTTAGCTTTAATAATTAAAGTGTGGTTACTCCTACTGTAGCAGTGCATCTTTGCAGGTCCTGAGCAGCTCTACAGGAGCTGTGCAGTTACTGATGAGTTGCCATGGCATTTGGTGCACGCTCAGAACAGGCAGTCGTTACCCACTCGTGTTACTTCTTTCTAGTTTGCCAGGTCTGGCTGTGTTACCAGGACCAGTGCTGCCATTTTTGCTAACTCTGCTGCTCCAGAGCACCATTACAGTTGGCATTTGTGGAGAGGTGTGGTGCCAGTGTTTGGAAATGCTCACAGCACCCTCGGAGTATTATTCGCAAAGGGACACAGGCAGAACCAGGGCTGGGCTGCTCGTGCACTGCCCGCCCTCCGGCGGTGCCGTTCCTGCGGTTCCCAGGAAAGACCCCATTGCTGCCTCGTGCTTCAGAACCACCGCTGACAATTTATTCCAGCTGAATAATTTAAGAGGTTTTTCTGCTGTTCTTCAGCTGTTCATTTCCCGCATTAATTGTGATCCAAACCGATGTTTTCAAGGAACGCTCCCGCTGTGTCCCTGCTGTCACCATGGTGACCATGCTCCTGATGCGCATTCCTCCTCTGTGCTCCTGCGGACGGGAAAGTGAGGCGGTAATTCCTGCTCTCCTGACGCAGCAGGAGATGGGGCAGCATGTTTGCAAAAGCACTTTAATGACTTGAGCTACATTATCAAAATCGCCTTCAATCCCCAGGAGCAAAGCGAGCCGCTGGTGGCACTGCTGGCTCTCGTTCTGGGGCTGCAGCTCTGCTGGGATGCGCTGCCTTCAGGCGTGGTGCGTGGAGCTGCTCCCGAGAGCGTTAAGTTTGTACCTGGAGGCAGGAGAAGCTGTTTGTGCAGAGCCTTCCCTGTAATCTCAATCTGCTGCTTGATGCTTGAGGGAACAGAGAGGTAGAGATATAAAGGAAAGGGGGAGGAATGGGGAGGGGAAATCAAAACTGCTCTCTGACAGACCCTGAAACTTGTGCTCTTCATCTTGGGATGTTTAGCATTTGGCACTGCTTTGCCTGAGCCTGTGCTGGATACTGATGTATGAACTGGGGTGGCTGTCGTAACCTGCAGAAAGCACGGCTGTCTTTAGTCTGGTGGTGCAGCATTTCATTTCAGGTTGCCTGAAGGAAACCAACAGCCAACCCAAGCTGTCTGGAATCCTGAAAGCAATGTGTTCTCTAGGGGGGCTGTGAAGGACAGCTGCCCACAGGGTCCAGCTCATGTGCTCTGCACTGGAGTGCTGTGCTTGCTGTGTGATGAGGAGCACAGCCTAGG